AAATCACTTCTTAAATATCTTTGCAGAAAAGATGCAAAAACTACAACTACATATTGTACAAACTTGTCTTATACATATTATGTGTTCAGAAATAATATGAGGAAAATTATTTTAGAAAATCTCAAAAGTCAAGGTTCAAAATGACTGAAGGTATAACACCAGTAGACTTTTATTAACTATAAATGTTCTTTAAAAATAACAGCAGCTTTCAGCCTGTCACCATGATGCAAACATGAAATATCAGACATACAGTAGTAGTTCTTTACAAGTTTTTTATTCGATTGCTCTGCTTTTCCATTGTTTTTTCTCTGTAAACATGGATGTGTTTGACTGTTGCGCTCGCGTCTCTTTCAGTGTTTCATACATGAAACGGCAGTCTAAAAACACTGCGCCCAAGTTAAAAGAAGTTCACTCCCTTCTTCTTGCATGTTTTCCTATTCCACTGCCCGCGTCGCATCTTTGTCAACACAAAAGCGCATTCTGTGTGAATGACGCCTAGCGCTAAATTTATGGTCCGATTATTTATGGTTATGAGCGGTTAATCACATGCGCCGACATACGGTTGGATCGTTCTTTTCTCTTTACTGTTATCACCGGCATATTGTCAATAAGTTTTGACATATTGTTGGTAATATTTAACTTAAACAATAAGTTTTGACATATTGTTGGTAATATTTCTATTCAAAATCGCGATTCCTCGATTTCTAAATAATAAAATCATGGCAAAGCAATAAATTCGAATGAATCGATAAAATCGGGAAAATCGCCCAGCCCTACTTTGAATGTGATGCCATTCAGATTCTCCATAAGTCAGATCTCTGGAAATTAGTTTGAAACCTGAACCTTGAATTATGAAAAGAAAAACATTGTTATTAGTTGAATTGTCTTGAACTGAATTGTCTATGATTTATTTGTTTTTGTCAAGACTGTAGGATTTTGAAGGGTGCTACAGTAGATAAATATAAGTAAAACTGTGCAAAACTTTGCAAGCATGTAAGTTGAGTATTGTTTTTTCAAATGAGACCAGCTTATTTGTGGTGTTCTGTTTGATGTCACTATACACTCTCCAAAAAAAAGATACCTTTAAGGTATCAGTATGCAAATTTTAGGGTTACTGTAGATCTGTATCTTTTGAAAAGGTACCACACCAGTGACAGTTGTTGTACCCTTTCTTCTGAGAGTGTATTAGTGCAGATATTACACACTTCAACTTTAACACAAAATCCCAGACCCATTGCTGTTTTAGCACATAGGGACCCCTTCTCTTACAACACTTCCTGTTTCAAACCCACATCTGTCTCCAGCTTCCTTTCTGAAAAATGCACAGAAAATGCTTAATGTTCAAGGAATGGAAACTATATTTATCTTCGAAGATATTATCGGTAAAGCACTATTTTGACCATTGAGTCAGACATGTTAACCTTCAAAGTGAGGATTGGTTTCACACCCATTTCTCTCTCGTTCACACTTACTGTTAGAAAATGATCAAGGATTACATTATGGGGTTCTCCACAATTATCGCTTATACTACCTTTATTATTAAATTTGATAAAATAACATCACAGCTAACCACCAGGCCAAATGCCTGAATCATATGCTTGTTTTAGTCGACTACTTTTGTTGCTTTTTCATGAAAATCATGTGACACGATCTGACAAAATCTAGTTTACCAAAAAAAAAAAAAAAGAATAAATTAATAAATATTTATAAGATTGCTATCACTGTCACACATCTCTTTAGCTGAGTTATGGAACACTGTTACCAAATAACATTTTACCAGAATTGAAATTTGACAAATTTGACATTTTTTATTTTGGTAACAGGAGAAAATACTCCACTGTGTCTGTGTCTCTGCATTAATATAATATAAATGAATATCACAATTCATAATGTTTGTTTTGAAGGTTTCTTAGATGTTGTCTTGTAAAGAGGACATGAAAGATTTTGATCTGCCTCTTCCTCTTTTGACATTGTGCAACAAGACTGTAGATTTCACAATAATGGAAGACGAGGTGATTTTGGATTTTGTTTATTATCATTTTCAACATCTTTTAACAAAATAATATTTAAAGAACACGATTAAAGATAAATAACCAAGGATTATATCATCAAGTGTGCGATGTGTACCAGTGTGTGGTCTGAGGAAAGGATGGGCCATATGAGAAGTTATAAAGATATTCTAAGTTTTTTTTTGCAAGCACAAACCAAGATAGAAATGACCAACAATTCTCTAAAGGAAAAAACAGCATCAGCTACTGCATCAAGTTCCTGGAAGCAATTCGAGAGAAGGGCAAAAAGACGTAAAAATAAGAAAAATACATGGAACTACATAAATGGAAAAGGAGAAATTGGCAACCTCATTTGTGTTCACAGGCATATTAAATCGTGCAGCTGAAGAAACATGCCAGACACTGACAAAAGAAATCACTATAAATATAATAACTGCTCTCTAGCAGGCGGGCTGCAAAGAACCACAGGCAATTAGCCCCTGTGAGGAGCAGAAATGCTGGGCGGCAGTTGCACAGAAGAGAAGGCCTTTATGTGAGCCGCTGATAAGCAGAGAATGGAGCAGAACTTTAATACTGTGGGTTTGCTCGTGTTTGCTATGCACTCTGAGATTGGCAGAACGCTATATCTCTGAGCTTGATTGCATTGGTTTGACCCAATTGTATGTTGTAATAAGTAGCAGAATAAACTGGACAGCAGCTGAATTAACTCACCAACTCTGTAGAAATCATATATGGGCATTTCAACATATTATTATTATAACATTACACTGTAACATTACAGTATAACAACAAACTAACCAATGTGAGAAGTGCAGTAGCTCATTGTCAAATGAAAATGTATACGATTGATTCTTTTTTCAAACTCATACTCATTGGCCTTGGCTCATTTTCTGTGAAGAACATATATCAGAACAAATTTTCAATGGCCTCTCACTACACCCCCCTACACATTTATATTACATACAGGATGTTCGGGTCCACTGGACCCGGGGGTAATAAAAGAGTGGAAATTTGATGTCCTGTGTACCTTCACTCTGTCCTCCTACTGTCTGGGCCTGCTATTAGTATGTGTATGTGTGTTTATGTTTGTGTATGTGCGTGTGTGTGTGAGAGAGAGAGTCTGTAAGAGTGTAAGTGTGAGTTTTGTGTTTCTGCCCCTGCCGTTCCCGCACAAGGTTGTAGCACTTTAATTCATAAATATTCTCTAACAAAAGGTAAGGGGCACATTTTGACCATATATGCTGTTTATATTGCTTGTAATTGGGATGAAGTAAACATCTGTTGAGTATTTTAACATATCATTTTTGATTGTGTTGAATTAAAATCCCAAAAATGCAACGGGTCCACCAGACCCTCGAACACTTGCTGAGTAACAAAAATATGAACACCACACAAGGGTTAAATTCATTGTATAATAAGCTTATTAATTCAAGGAATAGTTCACCCAAAAATTTAACTTTGCTAAAAAAAAAGGCTATCCAAGGTGTAGATGAGTTGGTTTCTCAGATGGTACCCATTCACTGCAGAGGATCGCTTGGTGAGCAAGTAATGAAATGCTACATTCCTCAAAAACTGTTCAGATGAACAAACACATCTATATTTTTGAAGGTCATACTTTTTATTTATTTATTTAACTATTCCTTTAATCAAATGAATGATTACCTGTATATGGAATGAGCTCAAAAATATCACACGAGCCCTCAAATGAAGATTGTGGCCAATGAGTAAAGCACTGGATAGAAAAGTAACTGTCAGTTTATAGTAGTACAGTTTGTTCTATTTCCATATCAGTGCACATAAGTCCATCAGTTGCACAGCAATCCATTTTGCAATCAAGTTTGTCAGTCTGTCTGAGGTGGACTTAAAGGGATAGTTCACCCAAAAATTAAAATTCTGTCATTATTTACTCACCCTCATGACGTTCTAAACCTGTAAGACCTCCGTTCATCTTCAGAACACAAATTAAGATAATTTTGATGGAATCTGAGAGCTCTCTGACCCTCCCATAGACAGCAATGTAATTACCATGATCAAGGTCCAGACATGTAGCAAGGACATCGGTAAAATAATCCATGTGACATCAGGGGTTCAACCGTAATTTTACGAAGCTACGAGAATACTTTTTGTGCGCAAAAGCCATTTTGGCGAGTATCCACTGAATGTAAATTGCGTATGCTATTTTGTGTCAGCTGCGTCACGCGGATACGCTGTTTACGTCGTTTATGCTTTGATTTGAACTAAAACAACGTATCCGCGTGGCACAGCTGACACAAAACAGAATACGCAATTTACGTTCAGTGGATACTCTCCAAAATGGCGCTACAGGGTGACGCGGAGGAGACGAATTGTTGAATAAAGTCGTAAAAAAAAAAAATATTTTGCGCACAAAAAGTATTCTCGTAGCTTTGTAAAATTACGGTTGAACCCCTGATGTCACATGGATTATTTTACCGATATCCTTGCTATGTTTCTGGACCTTGATCGTGTAAGGACCCTTGCTGTCTATGGGAGGGTCAGAGAGCTGTCAGATTCCATCAAAAATATTTTAATTTGTGTTCCGAAGATGAACAAAGGTCTTACGGGTTTGGAACAACATGAGGGTGAGTAATTAATGACAACATTTTAATTTTTTTGGTGAACTATCCCTTTAAGGTGTTTTCTCACAGAACGTGTTCAGTCTATATGTGTTATTTTATTTTAAATTAGTCTATGTACATATGTAATTTTTGTCATTATCTTGCAATCATGAGTGCCATGTTTTTAAATAGTTTCAAATTAAAAACAGTTACTTAAAAAAGAGCACTGTGTTCTTTGATTAATCAATCCATGCTTATTCAATTATTTTTTTTTTTTTCACAAATAATTGTATTAAATACACTCAAATTGTTAGTTTCCTCATAAGTAAGAGTAAAAATTGTGAGCAGAAACAGGCACAACTGTACATGGGTATCACAAGAGTTTGACATTTCCTGCTTCAGTTTGTACTTGTGGTTCAGGATGGTATAAGAACGAAATGCCACGGAAGGACTGACAGCAGTGACTATTTAGTCAGAGCAGAGAAATCGTTTTCAGAACAGCAGCTGGATTTTTTCAAAGAAAAGCTCAACTATGCACCAGACCTCACTGGGCAGTAATTACACAGGAGTTTAAATGTGACCCAGAGAACCTACAGATGCAGAACACGTTAAAGTATGTATTTTATTCATGTTTATGTTTTCACCTTAAATTGAATAAACACTTCAGAATAACTGTTATCAACAAGTCAGTTATAAACATGCTTTAAACAGTTTGTGTATTTTTCGAATATGAATATATAAGAAAATATTTAAATCAAACTTGAATTACGTTTCTGAATTAACTATTTCAATTGGACATTATTGGTCAATAATAGAGCATTATAATGTGTTTTGTGTGTGTGTGTGTGTGTGTGTGTGTGTGTGTGTGTGTGTGTGTGTGTGTGTTATTGTTATATTACTTTGTAATTTCTCTGTTTTGAATGAAAATGGTCTTCTAGATTTCCTATAACTTTTATTTTAGTTTCATCCACCACTTACTTTCTTTTTACAAAGTTTCAGATCGCATATTAGAAACCGAAGGTTTTGTCATTTTAAGACTTATCATTTTTCTGAAATGGTTAAGATTTAACTTTTTTTTTTTTTCAGTCGTCATAACCATGGCGTCAGTCTGGCTTGTGCTTGTGCTGTGGATATTTGTTAATGCATTGATAAAAGGTGAAACAACATTATTACTAATCTCATTATACGATTCTATATATCTATCTATGTATCTATCTATGTATCTATCTGTCTGTCTGTCTTTCTGTCTGTCTATCTATCTATTGATATAGATATACTGTTTAGACAAACCAGTTAATGTTTTTTTCTGATGTCACGCAAGTATTACCCACACATTTTGAAACAGGTTTGTTGGAGGTTGTTGTCGGGAATATGTCACGCAATGCTAAGTCACGAGACTTGTGTAGTGGTTTGATGTGTTGCTAGCTAGTTTATTATTAGAGCCCAATTTCTTTCGCTGAATTCGCTTATGAGTGTGATTTAAAACATTGATTCTTGATGTTAAAATCCCGCACATTTATTATCTGCAGTGATTCAAGGGTCATCATGTGCTAAGATTCACACTCCTGCTTCAGTGGTGCTCGCTGGTTCACCCGTGTCAGTGTCCTGCTCCATTGAGGATGACTGCCCGCTGACCAAAAGCAAAGACTTTCGTGTGGCATGGAAAATTAACAACCATTTTGCCCCCAGCAATCTCTCTTACCAGGAGAGTAGCAGGACGTATGGTGTAATCATTCCTAGTCTACCAGACACAGACACATTCATTGCTTGCGCTGTGTGTGAAGAGGAGAACTGCCAAATTGTCAATGGAGTGCAAGTGAAAGCGGGATGTGAGGATCTTTTATATGATTATAATTTAGTGCTAACTATGTTACTAACTGCTAAATAACTAACTACAGTCATAGAGCTTAATCAGGGTCCATATTTAATATATTAAGTGAATGAAAACAAGGAGTTGAGGGGTAGATGTTGGTGCTGATTGTTCAACCAGCGAAACATATCTTTCACAGACTGTATTTCTGTAATTCATATTCTTGTTTCAATTTACACGGTGCCAGCTCTGAATAAAGTCAGTTTCAAATCCACAGTTTATCTACAGAATATGGCATTTTCAAAAAAAAATGTAATAATGTAGACTATTCACTTCATATTCCAAGCCAAAGTTCACCTGACTTCTGCTTTTCCTTTTTTTTTTTTTTAAGATCCTCCATCCGTTCCTAAAAACCTGAGCTGCTCTTTGAATCTAACATCCAAAAAAAGATTCCTGTGTCAGTGGGATCCTGGTCAGGAAATGGCAAATCTTGCTACAAAATATACACTTCACATATTTAGGTATTAATTTCTGCTGACACTTTCAGAAATGCAGCTTGTTGATGGATCAATCTCTTAAAAAGAAAATCACATTTCATTCAAAGAAAGGAAAAAATACCCCCCCCTTTTTTTTTTGCATCAAGAAAACAAAGATGATTTTAGGATTATTGGTAGTTTTTATTTGACATTTTCATGACAATTAAATTAATTTCCCCTGATTTTTTTTTGTTGTCTAAATGCTGTTTCTCAATACGTTCTAATGTATTATTATTATTATTATTATTATTATTGAACTAGAGTAAATAAAGGTAGTCCAATAAATATTACCGTGATGTTTAAATTGCATCATACATAAATCATTTACAAAAAATAACATTTGAAATTTTTAGGTGAAATGTGTTTATTTGTCATGTATACAATGTAATAGTGAAAAATATCATTTATTCTTTGTTATTATTTTAAGATTAAATATTACCAGGACATTGTGACTTTGTGGGATTAATTTTTATGCTTATAGTTAATTAAATCTGATTGCTGATATTTATACTTTTTTTTTTTTTTTTTCAATTTTCAGGGTCATGTCAAAAAAGGTTACATGTGATCAATATTTGATCCCATCTGGAGCGCATTTCTACTTGATTCCACGGCAATCGTATGCTTTATTATCAGAGGTGGAGATAAATGTGACAGCAGTGAATGTCTTAGGGAACGCCACCTCTGAAACCCTGAAGCTGATCCCAATGGAAACAGGTAAGAAGAGCAATGAGCTTTATTCCTCTATCAAGAATTATGAACTAATGTGGATTTAGTTGCTGTGCTCCATGCAGAATTTCATTTAGAAATCTTTATTTTTATTCAGTTTTTAGTTTTATTTAGTTTATTCAATTGCTGAATGTGTAAATATGGAAATAATTCATTATAGAAATAATTCCCATCTGCCTTAATTAAAGGGGTCATATGATGCGATTTCAATTTTTCCTTGCTCTTTGGAGTGTTACAAGCTCTTGGTGCATAAAGAAGATCTGTAAAGTGAAGAGTGTGAGGCGGTACATTGTTTTCAAAATAATACATAATCAATAGATTTAAATATTTCTAAATTAAATGTATTTACAATTTCAAAAATGTTTATTATTTAAAAAAGTATCTGACAACAGTAATATTGCATTTTTTTCTAACATGTGTGTTAAATAATAATTAGTCAAAATGAATTATGTATTATTTTGTTGTACTAATGAAGTCAGAAGTTTTTTGAATTGCAGTTCAGGAAATTCCTCCGATTTCAAATTCCAGTTCAATGTCTAGTCATTTTAATATGACTATATTTCAATTTCAATATCTTGAGGAGTGGTTCTAATTCAATTGTACTGTAGTCAGTCAAATTTTGCCTGAAGTAGACCATTCATAATCATCTTTTCAAAATGTTTATTTTATGCAAAATTATGACATTACAGTATCGTAAGTGGTCCTGAAGGTCATTGGCTTGTATGTGCTGTTCAGTGCATGTATTGTATTTCAGTAATGTTCGACCCTCCGGAGATTAACAGGATTGAAGCAGATGTTGTGGGCTGCTTAAATTACAGCTGGAGTCTTGCAAAATCTCAGCAATGGTTGACGACTGCCATCAGTTTAGAGTTGAGTTTGAAAACAGTAAACAACCAGCAAAACAAAGAGTTGGTAAGTGATTGCTTTTCACAAGAATGTTTGTCTAAAACTGCACGGTTTGTACGTTTTTTCAGAAAGTGTCTTAAATATTCATTCTGTTACAGGTTTTGCTCTTCACAAAAAATCAAGGAAGCAAACTAAATGTATGTGACCTTTTTCATGGTACAAATTACAGCACCACAATGCGAGTGAAGTATAGTTCATTGAGTAAATGGAGTAAATGGAGTGAATGGAGTGATCCGAAAATAGCCACCACAGTTATGAAGGGTAAGAAGTTACTATCTTATAATAAAATACTGGGCAACACTTTAGTTTAGGGATCATTTCTCACTGTTGACTAGTTGCTTGTTAGCATGCATATAACTAGCACAATCGCTGTTTATTAGTACTTATAAAGCATATATTAATGCCTTATTCTGCAAGACCATATTTTAGATTCATTAATCCACCCCATACCTAAGCTAACAACTACCTTACTAACTATTAATAAGCAGCAAAATATGAGTTTATTGAGGCAAAAGTCATAGTTAAAAGTAAATGCTGAGAATTGGTTCCCAAACTAGGTCATGGTTTCCCAAACATTTTCGCAGAGGAAATGCAGGGGCTTCATGAGTTCACTGAAAGCTAAGAATGACTCAAATCATAACATGTCTAAATAAAACAAACTGATAAGACTACAATCAAAATAAAATTGAAATTGCAATATGTCTTCATTGGAGCATGGATTTCAAATCTCAAATGGTTGTGCTTACAGTGGTAATATATTTCTGTCTTCATGTTTTATAATCACAATTAAAATAATGTAAACCAAAACATTATTATTATTATTATTATTATCACTCAGGGAGGTGAGAAAAGTGTTAACAAACACCCTTAAAAATCAACTATTTTCATTTAATTTAGAGAGTGCATGTTCGAATCGCACTTGCAATGTGTGACAAAATAAAACAAAAAAATATATTTTTTACATGCTTGCATGCTATGCATAGTCAGTTTGCAGTCTGAAACATTTTAATGTGCTCAAAACCATTTACCCTAA